CAATTGATGCTATACATCTCACGCAACATTACAAAAAACAAAAAAACCCTCACAGCATCCTCTCTTTGATGAACTGTTACATAAGGATAATGGCTTAAGATATGGCATCTAGTATTACTTGGCTGATTGGTAAAGGTTGTTCTCCTCAACTGCAGCGGCACTCCAACCAAAAGTCAAACTAATCTTTTGTTTCATTGTTTGTTTATTTTTTGCACATTAACAACTCAAAAAAAGTATTCATACTATTTTGGGCGCAATGCATCACAGATGAAACCGTTTTCTAAGGATCCGGCCATGTGTGAGACAGAGTTAAATTGGTATTGAGACATTCACATTGTGTTTAATGGAGTCATACAGAGAAATTCTCCATCACCTGATGTTTCGTGATGAGTCTGAGGGGAATTTCACATGTGAAAAAAATATTTTTCGAGGTTGATAAGAATTGCAGCCACTTTACATTTAATATTTGTAGCAGAAAAGAATACAACGAAAAGCAAACAGGAAATAGACCAAATTTATCAACCACATGCGGTACCTGGTTTTCAAGCTGACAGAGTATATATGCAGGATTACGTCAAAAAATCAACAGATGTGAAACCACCAGCGTGCTTTGTGTCTCACATGGGAAGTCCAATGTGTTGTAATTGGTCTGCTTTAGAGGTTAAGTGTGTAGTTATGGGCTGCAACCATCATTTCTTTAAAACACATTTTGTTCCCAAAGTAAGAAAATCCCTACACACAGTGTTGTTGTGATGAAAAGTTAATAATATGCGACATGTTAAATTAAGAGATCTGCTAAAGCTGACTTTTTGCAGCATCAATTCTGTACAATTCAAATAATTTATTGACTTGTTGTTCACATGATCGTCGGGCTATATTTGTTTTTTCTACCGATTCCTTTTTTTGCACAACTGTCAGCATAAAAAAAGAAACCCTAACTGATTCTGAACACAAAGCGAAACCCAGTTCTTGTTAAAACCACCCACATTTCCTGATGCTTGTTGCTCCACCGCAGCACCAGAGTTGCAACTGAAACATTTTGCCAGTTTGCTACATGCGCTTTGTCTGTGAAAAGCTTGGTGTGTGCAGACCTTTAGTTTACCTATGGAAGCGTTGACCTTTCTACCTGCACCACTCAAAGGACAGAGAAGTGTTTTAAGCTAGCTGATAGCCTCACGTTGTCAGATTAATGTTCACACTCATTATAAAAACCAGCGATTGTGCATTACAAAAACAAGCAAATGAAGAGCAGTTTTCCTTGTTCATTTCTTTCTGACAGGCTGGATTTTTTTTGTCAAGCTGGTTGATGGTGGGAAGTTTCCACGGTTGGCTTCGTGACTAGCAAAGGTTGCACACGATGAGGTTGACCTCATATTCATCATCAACTCAACATGCTCAGACCGTCAAACATGCAGGGTTCTAGTTTTGATAATCAGCTGAACATTGTGCATGAACAGGTTTTGAAGGATGCTTGACATTTATTGCATCATTACTGAACCCTAAATAAAGAAAATAAGTAGTTTACTGACCCAGAAACTCAATGATAGATTGTTATGGACGGACAAAACTCATTCTTTCACTTATCATGTGTAAACCTCAGACCTCATCAAACATGTTTGTCCAGTAAGAAACTCAAAACAATGCAGATGTGAAACATTTAGATAAGACATTGGTTTGTATGGAAGCTGGGTAAATGAATTGAACTGAATGAATGTGAAAAAATACATGAAATAGATTGGGATCTCGTGCCAAATGCATATCAATAAATTGGTTACTTTTTGGATTGAGTAATTTTATAGCGGTGCTGCATCACATTCATTTTCCACTCTTCTAGATAGATCCCACACTGACCTCGTCTTTGTCAACCCGCCTGCTGTTCCTGTTGTCATCCATTTTGTTGCTGCAGTGCTCTTTTCACATCTATGGAAACCAACAGGAGCGCTGTGTTCACCTCTCCTCATCGGCCCCCTCCACCATAAATTGCAGCTTTTCATTCTCTGTTGGCCTCATGACTTTGACTTTGAGACAAGGGACGGGATTAAGGATGCTGACAGGAGTGTCAAATTGATACTGTCTTCTTGCAGTATTTACTACAGTATTACTGCACACAATAACTGTCTGCATGTTTGTGGATGTCAGGAATAAAAAAAAAGTCTAAAATAAGAAGGAATAAAAGAGCATATTGTTGGCATGTTTGCAGAAATATTACAAGAGAGAAGAGGCGACACCCGAACACAAAAAAAAGCAGACAAAAAAAGCCGATTTTTATGACTGTATGTACACAAAAGGCACAGAGGCACAAAGCTGTGCGGCTGCACCCAAAAACCTCTTTTATCTGACATTGCATTAAGAATGTATGACTGTGATTTTCATATAATGTGTCATATCACAAAGTGGCAGGTTTTCCAATTGTCCAATAATGATCTATTTGCCAATTCAATAGTATTGAGGAAGAGACGGCAGGCAGACGTAAAATGAATAAAACATTGAATGGCGGGATCGTGACAGTTCCATTTCAATCTCTCCTTCTCTCTCTCTCTCCCTCTCTCTCTCTGAAAGTCTCGGAGAAGACTTGTGTGCAATTGGGGTAAAATCAGTACTTGGACGGTTGCCTGAGTTTGTGTGCACATTGCATTTCTCTGTTCTCTTTATCTCACACTAGACGCCTACGATGCACCACTTTCACAAGCAAAAGCAAACGTCTTCTCGCATCTGCTCTCCTCTTTGTTAATATAGTTTGCTGGCAATGTTCTACACTGTATCCAAGGCTAATTAGCTAACTCCAACGGAGCCCTGGGCTAAATATAAATATGGGCTACAAATGTGACCCTTCTGATTGTAAAAATACTGTTAGGTTCAGTACGATGGGGGTGTCAGCAGAACTGATCGTGTCTTTACCAAAAAAAAGGACATGAACACATGCTCACTTTTAAACTTTTTTTTATTATGCAGGTTTGAAATAAAAGAAGCATTGTGACACAAACAGATGCTGCTGGCAAGGGGAAAAAGGAGCAGCATCCAAAATGTAAAAAAAAAAAAACAAAGGAAAGAAAAGTTGTGGTCATCATCATTTTTTATCAAACCAGAGAGGAAAGAAACAATAAAACAAAAAATAAAAATACACCTCCATTGTAAGAAGCAAAATGTGATCCAATTTCTCTCATAAATAAGAAAACCTGTCAAATGGCTGATGGGCAACTAGCAAAGAAAAAAAAACAATATGTTGATAACCATTTAAAATATTTACCATTACTGGCTTTACAAATAAAATAACTACAATTGGCAGGTTTTTTTTTTTTTTTTTTTTACACAACTTTAAATGTTATAGTTCTGTAACAACTAAAACTGAAATGCTGCTACAGTAAAGAGATAAATACAGATGTCTTTGTCAGCAAAATGCATTTCTGTTAATCACACAAAAAAGTTAAAAAGATGAGAGCAACACAACCAAACACCAACTAGAAACTTATAAAAATCACTATAATGTGGATGTGATGGCTCCATTCACATATTTAATTACTTCACTTCTGCATGTCCAGGAGACAGAAATTGACGTTATGGTCAGACAAAATAAGAAAAAAAAGGGGGATGAGGTGGGTGAGGGGTAGGGTGGGGAGAGGTTGAGGGAGTGGGGCATTTTGAGGCAATATCTTTTTCTTTTTTTTCAACCTGCAGCATTATCTCTCATTTTATATCACCACGTTTCTTTCTCTCGTTCTATATTTTTTTCCCCCTCATCTTTCACCTGGCTCTTTCCATTTAATGATCTGCAGGACACATATTGTGTATTCAGTTTTAGATTGAACTTTATTGGAAAAAAAAACACACCAGTGAGCACAGATTTAATGCAAGAACGAGAGTGTGAAATACTCCTCTGAAATCCAGCTGCACAGGGCTGTTAAAATTCACGAGAAAGACTCGAACGCTGAGACACTCCTGCACGCCCGTGTGTGTCCGTGCACGTACACACATACACACTCAGCTGCACACGTCAATGAATGGGGTACATTCGAACGTCCAGACACCCACACACGCACTCTCACACACACACACACACACACACACACACACACACACACACACACACACACACACACACACACACACACACACACACACACACACACACCCAGAATGACTTACATGTAATATTAAACAAGAAACAAATCTATCTGGACTTCCAATTCCCAATTTGATCCCATAAAAGTGATATTTACAATCACACTGTGACAGCTCAGCAGACCCCGACAGGTCTAAAATATTAAAAAAAAGATTCTTTTTGTTTTCTTTTTTTTTCTCATCCCAAACCCAAGCCTTTTGTATTCATTTGCAGGCCCTTAAGCAAAGCTACCATAACATCTAAGCCTGCGCGGAACCTACTCGTAGTTCATATTTTTTTTCGACAGTACAGGGCCAAAAAAAAAAAAGAAATGGAACAATTTAGCAAGCCAGAAATAAATACAACAACAACAACAACAACAAAAAAAGGAAATGGAAATGATTAAAGAAGAGGAAGAGCATTTTGTTTCTTCTCATTCTAATTAAAGCTGGATGGGGCCCCTGAGGGGACTTTGATGGTGACACAAAAGAGGACAGCTCTTCGGTCCTGCCTGTATTAAAAGAGGGCAGAAAAACACAACTAAAGAGAGGAGGAAGGAGAGGCTGGGGGGGAGAGGGAAGGGGCCGAGGGTTCATAAGTGCTTGGCAAATTTTTAAACAGCAAGAGGACTGCTAATACATTAAGTGGTACAGACAGCAGTCATCTAGTCAAAAAAAAAAAACTCTGCTCACAAGTTCTTCTAGAAACTGAGAGAAACCAGAAGTACACAGACAAAGAAAGGTGGTGGTGGTGGTGGTGTTTGGGATGCAGAATATGTGTGTTTGTGTGTGTGTGTGTGTGTGTTTGCATGTGTTTGTCAGTGTATGTGTTAGGTGTGAACTGTATGTAATTGTGTGCATCAGAAGAAGGTTGAGGGGAAATGGGGGGGGGAATCGGGGCAGGTTGGGGGGGGGGGGGGGGTGAGAGTAGACTCCTCTGTGTCGTATTTGTCGACAGAGCATGATCTTCAGTTTTCAGGTGAGGTAGAGGGGCTTGTCCCTGCCAATCATGCTGCCACTGGAGAAGAGAAACAGAAACAGAAGCACAGGTTGGATTTTAGACAAAGATAAGGTAAACAAAAGAAGCATGCACACACAAAAATACAGGAAAGAAATTTGTACATTTCCCTCTGATTGCAGATATTTTGTATTTCCTGATGGCTGCAATTAGAGCTGAAACACCCATTTTCTTAATGTCTCCTTTGCTCTAATCAAACACCAAATATAAAGATAATACTTCACAACACTTAGGCATCAAAACAGTGTACGCGTAGTCTCCCCTCCAGTGCTGCAGGACTTCCAACAACATCAGTAAAAAAACTTGTGTGTTAGGAACATCTGTTTTTTTTTTTTTTACTGCTGTCTGACAAACACATGACAAGCTCTATTATCTCACCATTACCTCTCCAGCTGTCTCCCCTGTCTCACCAGAACAGAGCTGACAATTTTCAACACTTATATTGTGAAAGCAGCCAGAGACACGTCTGACACGACTATATATGCTTATTTGGGAGGGAGTTCTGCTTTAAGATTGGACTGTATTTATCAGACAATTTCAACCTCAAACACTTAAATTAAAGGTCGACATGGAGTCACACAGTCTTGGTATTTTTTTTCTTAACTTTCGAACAAAATATTTTTATTTTACTCTGAGTCAATTCTATGGTCTTATTGGATGATTTTAAATAATATGGAGGCAGGCATTTCTAACTGAAGATGTCCTGCCTGATATATTTATGATTGCAGTCAATTCTGACAAGTATTTGTTGGTTTCATTTATTACTTCTTGTGTTTTTTCATGTATTAAAGTCATGTCTATTGTATCATGTATTTATGTATGGTTACTCATTGTTTATCATCTGTGCTGTTGCCTGTCTTAGCCAGGACACTCAAGGAAACGCAGTTTTTGTTCACTTCAAAATTTGCTGCTGAAATGGTTGAACTTGTTTTTTCCGACAATGACTATCTGATTTGATGAGTTACAGTAACAAAGGGCGTTTCAGACAACAGACTGTGGGAAGCAAATAAAACAGTGCCCTCCGTCCTTACTGACCTGCAGTGGTTGCCACACTCCCGATTGCAGTATTCACCATCCCAGTCATGGCTTTGAGCCACTCCGGGGCCTGGACCCGGGCCAGAGGCTCCTGGAGACTGGGAACCCCCAATGCTCTTCTGATACTCTGACTGAAGGTGGGAAAATCCCTGTAGAAAAAAGAAAGAAAATTAAGCTTATACCTTATTGTACGAACCATTCAACAGCAACAGATGTGTCTCAGTTTGTTGCTTTACCTGCTGCCCATGAGGGGGGGAGTGAAGAGAGGCCTGAAGCCCCATCTGGTGAGAGATGATTGGCTGGGACTGGACTTGCTGCATGCGGATAGGCTGGTTGAGGAGCGAGCTCTGATGCAGGGAGAGCTGCTGGTGGGGGTGCAGAGGGGGGCTAATCTGGAAGGAGGATGGGGGAGAGGCACTAATGCTGGGCAGCATCTGTGATTGGCTGAGCGTCTGTGACAGTGTGTGGCGAGGGGCGTGTCCCGCGTAGCTCTGCAGGTCAGTGAGTGGGAAGGCCCCGGGCCCCAGGTAGGGCGACGATGGCTGGGGGGGAGGTGGCACGCTGTACAGGGGCGGGTTGGCTGACATCATGTGGGGAGAGGCCTGGCTTGTCTGGACATTTTTTGTCTCCACGGGGTCATTATATGTCTAAAAGGAGAGAGAGGAGAATCACTCAGTATAACAAACTCTACAGCCTAAAAGTAGGATTCAACTTTGTGAAAACATTGTGGCTTTTGTTTTTGAAATGAAAGATTTCTGTGTCTCAGCTTCAGTTTTACCTCAAAATAAAAACGTTTTAGATTATCTGGCTGACCTGTTTGCTTGTCTACAACCATATTTATTCCTGTCTTGACTGTGGAGGACTTGAGCCCAAGACTAATTTTCCCAAGGATATAACAAAGTGTAGCCGACAATATTGTATCAGCCTATGGTATGGAATGGTGTCATATCGTATTGTATCAGATGGTATTGTATCATATCGTATCATACTGTACTGTATCTTGGTTTACAAATTCTGTTTGAAGAGCAGTGATTTATCTAATAAGTACAAATGACTTGCTCCTCTCTTAGGGGCATTGGGGTAATTAAGCTCTTGTAGTTTTGCGCTGCTCTCTCATAGCAGCAAGAAAATATCTCAACAATATTATGACTCCACCTTAATCGCTTATAACGCATATTATGTCAGCATCTGTTATTATTATTTTTTTAATCTACTAATGATGTATGAAACTGATAATTTGTTCAATTTAAAGGTGCACTCTGTCGATTTGGTAGTGACATTTGAAAGTTGGAGAAGTGAAACAATTCTATGATATATTTTCTGAACTAAATACACAAACTTTACTCAAAGGAAAAATGGCTCCCTGGAACACTGTTTGGAGCTAAAAAGCTACCAGGAGAGTTACAGTTTCACTGTTGCGGGCCCACCACCATAACTTCTCGCGTAGCATTTTATCTTCAAACGGTGTTCCAGGGACCAAATTTTCCTCTGAGGACAGTTTGTGTTTAGTGTTATGAACACAAACCACAGAACCTGTACATTTCTCCAACTTTCACATTTCTATACCAAAACTCCATGGTGCACCTTTAATGACACAAATATTGTTTTTCAATGGATAAGATCATGCCGATAACAGCTGATGGAGCTCAGGGTATCTAAAATACAAAACCATCCCCATAATTCTTTGCACCACCTCAAACCAACAACTAGACAACCCTCTCTGGGGAAGTATAACAAAAAAAAACGTAGATGAAGCAAAAGAAAAAGAGCAGCTGTCATCTGCAAATAATTCCAAGGCAGATCCTTATATAAATAACTTTAATAAATAAATGAGGAGTGACATAGCACCCCGCCATGAAACTTTGATATTGTAAGCTGAATAAGCTGCAAATGAATTGCCCTTAATGGGATCAATAAAGTAGTCTGAACCAGACTGAAGGGAAAATGTGCTTGGAAATTTTAGCCTAGTACCAATTCTATACTATTCATTACCTTAAGTACCAATAGAACATTTAGCAATTGTGGCTAATGTTGATAAAGGTCACCCCTGTGTTACTCTTTTTCTTCTTTATGTAGCCCGCACAAACACAATTACACACATGCACACTCAAACACACATACACACACACATTTATTCTGCAGATATTTCTTCCCCCTCTCTCTTTTCATGGGATGGTGTTTTTATGAAATACACCCAGTGCTTCTCATTAGCTGTCAGAGCGGTGGGAGTGATGTGTGGTGGTCTGCTATTTAGTAATAGCTCACATCCATCCATCTGAACCCCTGAAATAATCAATGGGATGGGAAAGAGGGATGGATAAAAGAGAGGGACAGGTACATTTGCAGGGTCAAGTGGAAAATGAAATACTGAAGAAACAGGGTGTAGGCAGAGGGAGAGGATGGGTGTGATTTGCGGATCTTTACTTTATCATGAGGAACTATTTTAGGGTTTTTCTTGCAGTAAAATGATTTTAAATCAGTTGTATTTTCAAAAATAATGTTTGTAAGGGTTTAAGACGTAGTACATTTCTTAAAACCTTGCATCACAGTTTGACTTTTTTTCTGACCAGATTCTGTACTTTGGGAGTCTTTGGATTCAAATGTACACAAGAGGAAGTGCAATGGCATATCTTTTGGAAGCAATCATACTTTTGTGTTTTGCTTCTTCTCCCAAACAAACCGACGTGCGTCAGAAAACAAAAAGGCAACAGGTGCACACTGAAGATGTGAATCCTTCAAATGATCGTCCAATTACCTCCAATTCCACCCACCCCAATCCACTTTGAAAAGACTCCTTCATTGGTAATTAAAAAAAGAGAGTCGCGTTGAATCATGAGATTCAGCCCTGCATTCAGATTGCCTGGTCCTGAATGAGTGTGGGGGTGTAGGGGTTCGGGTTGGGGGGGGGTTGTAGGTTCTATTTTTGCCAGTCAGTTTTCTTGACTGGCAATCCACCAGCATATAGTATCAATCAAGCCTCTGCATAGGAGCTCTGACATGAATGTGTAATTGCAGCAGAGACAAGAGATGAGAATAGTCTTTTTAGTTGAAAGTATGCCACAGTGAAGAGGCTGATGAATTAACTATTCATGCCTTAATCAAGGTGCTTGTTTTCGGCCCATGAGCGTGAGAGGAAGTGTGGTGCTGTGCGGGGGGAGGGGAGGGGAGAAAGGAGGACTGGCGGAGGTGGAGGAAGAGAAGGGGTGAAGAGGAGGAGCTTGGCATATGCTAATGCAATTTAGACCAGTGTTCGGAAACAATACAAAAAACAGTGAAATGAAATACCAGCAGATTGAAACACTGCCGTTTGTGACTGTACAAAAAGTGCAGATGTAAGAAAAATGGTACTTTAATACTATGTGCTTGGTTTATAGACAGAAAGGGGTTAATGGTAAAGTGTTAAACCGCAGGAGCAAGTGATAGCGAAACTCAGCTAACACATTAGTGGTCCATCAGGAAGGACACACTCACCAGGAGGATGGAAAATGACATACATAATGTCCACTTCTACACCCACACACAATTGTGTACTGTTAGTTTCTCATTTCTCCCCAGGTTCCAAATGGGGTGTGTTTGAGGCCTAATTCTCACTGTTCTCCTCTGAGCACACACTCACACAGACACGCACATACACGCACATACACACACTCACACACACACAAACACACACACACACACACACACACACAAGTATGCACAAACACGCTAACCCTTCCTTGCAGCGAGCGGACCCTTTCCTCGGAATAAAAGTGAGAGGAATTCTGTCTAATTTATCATCCCTTATATCGCTGCTGACCCATGTATATCAAAGACGTGACCCCCGTGGTTACCTTGGAAACCAGACTGGCTCTGTAGGCGGCCAGGGCTTTCAGGTACTCCTTCTTAGCAGCCTCTGTTTTCCTCTTGTAGCTCTGCAGGAGCAAACACAACAACAACAACAACGATTGATTACAAGGTGATGCCAAAGGCTAAAATGACCCTTTGGTCCACTCTGACTGATGTGGATGAGATTTTTGGAGTTGTGGTGTGATTGTGTGACCTGGAGGTGCTCTGTGGAAGAAAGAAAAAACACATAGAAAATGCATTGCACAGTTATCAAGGGAGGAGATTTGACCATCTGCATGATGTTGCTGCATCTAAATCATTTAATTCTTCAAAATATCCAGAGTGAAGTGCCAACAAAGCTTGTGCGCAGACACGTTAAAATGGAGTTTGAAATAATTCAGAGCAAAAATAAGAAGCTGTTTGTGATTTTTCAGTCTCTTTCTCTATTGGGGCTGTTGCTCATCCCTTAATCAGAGCTGATGTCCCTGCAAATCATTCAGACGAGAAAGAGAAGAAGAAGAAAAAAAAAGGATTCAAAACAGCATTAGCAAAGAGGCAATCTCCAGCCTTCTGAATGAACCTCAAATGATGCGTTAAGACAGGGAATTCTAGTTAATGTCATCACATGTCACTCACGGCCTCTTTATAGCTGCCACTGCCTTTTTGATGTGGGGAAAACAAGTCGCAGAAAGTCCATCCTTAAATCGACAAGGAAGACTCAGATCTCTCTCTTTTCTCTCTGGAGCTTTTTTAATAGGAAGGAGAATGTGTGTTTGTGTGTGCGTGAATGCATCAGGTAATTACTGATCCTCAGTTAGAGAGTGAGAGAGAGAGAGACAGAGAGACAGAGAGAGAGAGAGAGAGAGAGAGAGAGAGTGTCTGTGGCTGCATGGACAGAGGGGGTCATTTCTTTCAAAGAGGTGGGGTAGAATAACCATTAAGCATTCATGTGTTGCCAAATGCACATAGGCTGGCAGCTGCTAACACATACAGTCAATAAACAAACAGACATACACGCCGAACAGCAAACAAACCGGGATGAAGACGGATACAATCTCTTGCTCAAACAGCTGATGTTTATCCTCTCACTCATCCCTATTTACAATATTTTTTTATTATTACTCTTCCATGACACACATCCGCATACTTTGGAGTGAGGCTAAATTGAAAAAATACTGGAATAAACCAACAGATTTAAAAAAAAAAAAAGAAATGAAGCTCAATCCCAGAAAATAACCCAAAACAAAATATGACAACCTTACGAGTAACCCCTTAAATATTGATAGAGCGGCGGCTGCCTCTTTAATGAACCCCAAACTACTCCCAGCAGCTTTAATTTCAAATTAATTTAACACAGCTAATGATTCGCGCAACGACGGATACTTTTAAATAAATTACCATGCCTAAGGATGTCTAATTATTCCAAAGTGAGTGGATTCATTAGCAATTGAAGCCGTCAGAGGCTGCAGGTCAGTATGAATTAAAAATAACAAAGCTGCAAGGGGAGAGCATATGCCTCCATCGTAATCCTGACACAGAGGTGTCCCGCCTGAATTAGCCCCTAATTGTACCTTAATGAAATGTTCTTGTTTGATAACCAGTTAATTACAGGAGACAATAACTCCGCACCCTGCTGACACTGAAGGGAGTGATTACCCCGACGACCGAAACACCGAGACACTGAAGAGGAGGAGGAGGAGGAGGAGGAGGAGGAGAGAAACGGTAAGTAGAGAAGATGAAGATGTGAGAGCTGTAGTTTAGGAGAGAAGAGGACTACAAGTTACTCATTAAAAACAAAAATGTTATGTTGCTATTCTGCACAAACTAAGTTTAACACATTCCCTTCCACAGTGATATTTTATTATTATTGAGAACAAATCCGATAAAATATTTCAAAAAGTTTGAGTTGTTAGTCACATGGGTTATCATGTTTTCTGATTTTTTTTCCTGATATCATGGCAAGAAAATAGAAGTTAAAGGCATCCAATGTTGGGTAATCTCTTACTTTTTTTTATCCAAAAACTGCAAGCTAACTCAAGCACACTGTCTAAATTAAAGAAATACATTGGAAATATGTAACCTATACTCTGCTCTCTTGTCTGTTTTAGAGACATAAACCGAGCTTAAGCACTATTAGTACTTGAAAAACGTCAGTATGTGCTGACCTGTGAACTTGAATAGACCACTGCTACTCCCTCCTTTTGCAGCTTTGGGTTTTAAATTTGACAGAAGATCTGTAATTTGTATTAAAACTTCTGTTCTCTTCCATTTTATTTATCATTAAAATAACAGAGATAGTATCATTTTAAAACACCTTATATTGAAGTATCAAAAAAGTATGGAAGTGTGGGAAATGTAGTCAACTTATACACATGTTGTCTGCATTCACTGGATCAGTGTTTCTTCAAATCATGATGTTGCTTTATTGTTGTAGTATTCACAGTTTGCAGACTTTTAATCCATTCTCTATAGCATACTGTTTTTCCTTTCAAAATGTCAAATAATTTTTTTTTTTTTTTTGTGTTGCTACACGTATTAACAGTTTCCACAACAGTTATTGTGGTTTAACCTCCAACAGAAATAGTTCTATAAAATGTTTCCTAACATACTAAGTTTGGTAGATGGTCATTGATTGGTTTATATAAAATCTTACTGTTCAAACAAAGTGAGTCATTTCCTTTACGTCGGACCTCCAACTGCTTCAAACTGCAGGCTCAATGAAATCAAGCTAAAGTCTCTCCTCTTCTCCTCCCAGACTCCATTATCACTGTTCCTCCGCACAACAGTAAAAAACGCAGAATTGATCTTAATCTTAAATAACAAAAACAAGAAAAATGTTCTTTTGTGTTTCTGGGCCAGCTTTAACATGTAGTCACCTTGAGGAATAACACAGCCCAAATGAGCCATAAAAAGAAGGCCTTTGGGAATGAAAAAAAGAAAATCGCTGTATAGCATGAAGGTTCCAAAAACATCTTAATAAAAAAGAAAATGTGAACATTTACATGAATGAAGAAGAAAAAAAGACGGTTGTAGCAAACTTAAGGGTGGCACTGGAGAATACACAACAACTCTAGTAAAAAGTGTGTGTGTGTGTGTGTGTGTGTGTGTGTGTGGGGGGGGGGGGGGGGGGAACGCACTCTGAAGCTGGAAAAAAAGACTCAGAAAAAGAACACAAATCACAACAATGGAACTTGTGATCGTTTCTTCAATAAAATACAGCAATAAACCATGCCGCCTTCAATGCGTTTATGTGAATTCTGCTGCGTTTGAGAATAGGTAATTGGAAACAGGGGCCACGTTCTAGTTAAAACAAAGCTGTGTGTAGGGGAAGGCTTGTGTTTACATTCTGGTGCTCCTGCGAGGCTCCAGAGGGTCTGACTGTGACATTATAGAACACACCTCATTGCTCCTATAGCATGACGTGACAGGCATGATGGGGGGAAAGAAAATGCAGAACGACACATACATCAACAGATCAAGAGCAGGGGGAGATAGAGATTAAAGCTGTGTACTGGAAAATGGAAAGTTTCATTTTAAATCCATTTCACTTGAGCGTACTATTATAATGCTGTTATTTAAAACCAAAGACAGAATTTTTTAATCTCTTCAGAGTATTAACATGCAGAAGCCAAATTGGTTCTGCTCTGTAAATGCACACTTAACAAGTTTATCCATTTGTTGTGCAGAAATAAGTGAAAGTGCTAGTCACTGAGAATAATTAGAGCAATCACAGTGTTATTGCCCAGACAGGGGACTACATTTCATTCCATAATGACATCATTACCTCCAGTTAATTATGTGTCTTGCAGGGTGACACGTTCGATTAAATACATGAGTGCACAAACAAATAAAAAAATTAGCCGTGAAACAGCACAATAAATGAGTGGATTTTTTTTTAATGGCAGAATTGCCCTTTTGCTAGTTTTGTGTCTGTATCTGTACAAATACTGGGAAGGACAAATGCATTAAAAAGAGAGGGATGAAAGAGAGGGAGAGAAAGAGAGTGTTGCAGCTACAGTGCAAAATCTAAGGTGAAACAGACTCCAGGATTCAAAGGGTTAAGAAGCACAAACAATAACATTTCAGGAGCAGATGTCCTTGAGGCAAAACCAAGGACAAGGCAATTGCTAATCTTGTATTCCCAGCATGATCAAATCACCAGGCAACAGATATAAATAAAAGGACAGGAAATGAGGAATTCACATTCAAGGGTGTCAGCGGCGAAATGAAGATTCATGGTGAAGAGCCCCGGTGAAGGCGGCAAAAATTAACTGCAAATAAAAGGGACACACGGCCTCCAAAGTCCGGCGTATAAAGTAGGTTTGGTGGGAGAAAAACACACACATGCTAGATGGGGTTTGGTCGATGGTGGCTGGGGCTGAGGAGGAGAATGGGCTGCACTTTGTCATGGAGACAGGTGCTTTTATTTGACACCCAATGGGCTGCGCCCTGACTGGATATTCTAAAAATATGAGTCTGCGCATGATCATCAGACTGTCTCGTTTTCCATTCATTTCACACCATCATTTGTTACCACAAACACATAGAAACCTCTTTGACTTTGTCTGCCGGTCTGGAATGCAAAATGAAATAGAAAATGTGCTGGGAGCGAGGAAATGCTCTAAACTGCAGTAAATGTTAATGCAGTTCCATATGCACAGGTCAGGCTGTAATAAAATTAAATTGACTGCTGAAATATTCAGGGAAATGTGCTGATGGCGGCAAACTTTTAACTCCTTTCAATATACATGCTTTTCACTGCATTAGGACAGGATAATGATAGATTCCCACCAGTTGAGTCTGCACACTTTTAAGATGTCTAATGCACAAATAAATGTGTTTAAGGGCTTTAGATATGTGTGTCTTAACAAAAGAAGTCTGTGCTTCACTATCATGAAGGGTTGTCATTAGACAAGTGGAAAGAATGATCACATTTAAGGATATATATCTCTATGGTCTCATGATTCCACTTCTTTATTACATACTTTTCATTATTCATTTTAAGTATAAACTATGTTTTGAACACTATTTGGAGATGGACAGCTCTGTCATGCTCAGTGTTTCTGGATACATTTCTGTCAAGTAAGATACAACATTAAGAATGACAGTAAACACTTCAGAATGACTCCCTGGAAGGTATTGCACCTTTATGAACTAGTCAGAAGGAGATCATATTTTGGTAAGTACCAGAGCTCTCTTTTCAAATCGCTGTAGCTGAATTAAACAGAGACATAAACATCTCTAATCAAAGTGTCACTTTGCCTCCAGTGTAATAGAACACAGTGAATGCTCTGATGTGTTTACTGTTATGTGTGCTCAGCCTGACCTGTTCATTTGCATGACCCATGACCTTAAAATTTGGTTGAACACTTATCACATGCCAGTAACTTACAGTTGAATATGTTATCAGATCATGTGACTATTGGTCCATGCACTCCCCTGCTGCAGTTTGTATTTGAAAGGTTTTAAAATACTATAATTAACACCGAAAAGACCCTCAATAAAAAAACATGCCAATGTGTTAAACAGGTCCCTGGTAGTGTTATTAAAGCAAGAGACAGAACGCCACCTCTGCAGTTTCCCCCTCCTCTGTGAAGCTCGACGGAGCAACTTGCAATGTTCTGAAAGTGTTATTTCAGTCACAGCAGCAGCTGCTTACAGCAAGAAATGCTAGAACTGATAATATACACTGTGTTTTCTAAACGCCAAATATCAGACAGACATAGTTGGCAATGAGCTGGGGAAGCATGTAGTAGCTAAAGCTGCTACTATTTTCATTGAGTGTTGATGAAGGCCAAAACAGAGCAAAGATAGAGTATAAGTCTCTCATTGGTGGGTGTCAGAAACATGACTCAGATTATTCAAAGTTCAATCCAAAGGGCAATTGATAGATTGAAGAGGTCTTTCAGATGAGAGGTGAAATGTCTTTAAGAACATCAACAAAGTCCAGTTGCCCTTTAGGTGAGAACTTTCTCAGACATGACTCCAGATTAATGCTAATGAGGCTCTGTAACTTCTGAGTGTGTAAAATATGAAACAGTGTGTTATAAGGCTCCTGTACCTGTTACCAACAACAAGCTAAATAAATCAACAACAAGCTACCAACAACAAGCTAAATAAATAATTCCAAATGTTATATCATTCTGCTGTTCTAAGATCACTTCATAGTCAATTATGCAAACTCGTAGATTAGCACAAACAATATGTCTTCACCTGTTTCTGCTCCTCTCCCAGTCCGTCCCACATGGAAGCCACTATCTTGGATACGTCTCCAAAGGTGGCGTTGGGGTTCTGTCCTTTAATGGCCGCCTGGGTGTCCCTGAAGAACAGAGCGTAGGCTGACACAGGCTTCGTCGGCTCATTGGGATCCTTCTTCTTCTTCTTCTTTTGGGGTTTGGGTTTGGGCTTCATCATCTCTGAAGACGGCCGCTTCTCACCCGTGATCTGGAAGACCATCAAAAACACGCAAAAGACAAAACGGCTTATTGATACTGCAGAAATGAAGTCTACTTATTCGACTGAAGGTGATTCATTGAATTACTGATGAATGCTGATGACATTGGGTCCATTAACGCAGCATTTTTTTTACTAAAACATTCACACAGGCTGGTGTTGACTGTTTTCTTTTCTGCCTCACTTTTTTTTTTAAATCACATCCGTTAGCTGAATTTATCAAACCTTTTCAAATCTTTATTTTTCAGTTGTTCAGCAAGTCATAAATTCTGACTTTTCATGCCAGGGGTGAATGGAATTTTAAATCGCCTGCTGTATCTGCTCGGGCTTTGATGTGGTCTCAGAATGAATTTTGGGGAGCAAATGGAATTACTTACTGATAGCAGAGGTGGTAATCATTTTTATTCACATGCACACTGAGAGGCACGGAGGAAATGTACTTGGAGGAAACTATATTTTTTCTTTAACTAAGGAAACCCCTTTTTGTTATACTGCATCACTGCGAGCTAGCATTTAAATACAAAGATGAATGTGAAACACTGTGAATGTGGCAGATTCAATTATGCACTCGTTCACATTCCCCAGATAGAAACAGAGCAAATCCACAGAGACTTTGGTTTGGTGGGAAATTCATGAAAGCAGATTTACATGAAACAAATGAAGGTAAACAAGTGTTCTTCTCTTCTGATTAAAACAAATGAGTGACATAAATGAAGGCATCCAATTCAGACTGTATATACAATGACAAACATAGAAAGCACACTTTTTATTCTGTATTGTTAATTATCAGCCCATTAAAACATCATTATCTCTGTATATAATGGCACTTGTTATACTATTGGCAGAAAATATACAATATTTCTAGAATCAGTTCGGTATAAAATATTTCATTTCATGTCATGTTACAGACAAACCAGCAAATATGTGGAAATAGCTGCCAGCCAATCATAACTGTACACCAGAAGGAGCAAGAGATGATTGTGTTTCTTAAGATGTACATCCAAAGACAGGACGGTAACTGAGTGACTAGGTGCTTTTAGAACTGTAACAAATGAAATAGTAAATCTTCTTTTCGACCATCAGCCTCTCGACAAAGGGTTAACAACATTGGAACACATTGCACTCAACACATATAAATCTTTTACAACATAAGTTGAGTGCTGGCTAAAAGCAAAGCAGAGTTGCCACCATATTTATATTTTTGCAATTTGATTGAATGAATTGTATTGGTGAATATAATATGTGTATCACTATATGGCATTGTAAATGCAGTAAACCTTTTGAGAATAAATAAAGTTTAAAATATTGAAATGTTCTGGGATTTTTCTCCCATATCAGTAGTTTAAAGAGGGTCTATGATGGGGAAATCTGTTTTTAAATGACATTGTACATCTAATGGTGTGTTCCATTTACCTCAAAACTCAGATCTGAGAGCGGGGAATGACGTCACACCTGGGTTACACATGTTCTAGTTGCAAATCGGACAAGCAACATAGACTTCTCCATGGATTCCTTTGTTTTTTTAGCTATTACCGGACGATAACAACACACTACGTGACAGATTGTGCGCTGAAATAACATGTCATAATGTCTACAGATAGAACTTGCACAAAACTTTCGATGTGATTGATTTAATTACACTATAAGAGGACTAAGCTGCTAATAAACACAATAGTTTCAGCTCAACCTTTACTGTTGATGCACGTAGCAGCCATGTTGGATTTTAACACGGCCTAGTGAAGTTTCTGATGACGTATCTGACCGTTAACTCAGAATTTTGTTTTTTCCGATAATAAATAAAACGCACCATGAGCCCAACACAGTCAAAGCAGAGGGCTGTTCTGCTGTTGTCAAATGCTCGCGAGTGCTGTGTTCATGGTGGATTAATGTTGGGTCTCTGTAGATAATACAACAATCAGTAATGTCTAGGTCTGCTCCTTAGGTAAAGTGTTATGTGAGAAAAATATTGGCGATTCTCTGTTCAACATTTTAGCTTCATGCCTTGTATTGAGTTGCATTGTCCCTAACAACAAAATAAATGAAAACACAAGAAAGCGTGAACCACATTTGAGAAATGTGCTGCTAAATCAAATCACAAACTAAATATTTCAGATCTAGTTTTAATTCAAATTTAGAATCCCACTCCACCACAAAAGAAAGTAAAAGTCTTCGCTTCAGTTCCCTTTAACAGAAAGAATTCTGCAACCATGCAAGTTTTCCAGCCAACCAAATAAAAAGCACAGGCAAGACTTCCCTTGAATTCCTGCTCTAAAGCTGCTACTCCACATCGTTAGCATGCAAACCATCTCTGAGAAGCCCTGCTGAGCCCCTCGCCTCTACCTTCTCTAATGCTACAAGATCGCGAAGCCCCACGAGTACCTTTGAATGAGGATCAGTCTCCTCTTCCTGATTGGAGCTGGAGGGGGAGGGTGTGGCGGATTTACTTCCAGGAGGTGAGGGGGAGCCATGACGCACAGCGCTCCGGCTGACCTGAGGGTTTAGCTGGGTCAGAGCGGTCATGGGGTTGGGCAGTATCGGAGGTGAGCGGTTTATCATGGGGTGGTGACGGGCGGGGTCATAATGAGCGCCGTCTGGGTGCTGGTGATGGTGTTGCTGTTGTTGTTGGTGATGGTGGTGGTGGTGGTGGTGCAAAGCCATCTCCTGCATCTGGAGTGAGAGAAGAACACCAGCTTTACTATCTTCTCCTTCACTTGAATTTTTTTAAAGTTTGCCAATCAGCCAAATATGCAAAGACTTGAATGTGGAGATGACAGTTTTTTAAATGTAGAGATTATATGAATGTGTGTGAATCTAAAAAAGACAAGGGAATAACTTACACGAAACTTGAGGGAAACATGTCTATAGGAAGACAAGTTTCAATGTTAAAATGTTGCTTAAAGAAAGCTTCTCTACTTTCCCAATTATCTTTTTTTAGGTTGGTAAAGGGAGCATTTTTAATTCCTATTGGTTTGTCTATATTACTTACAGCAAGATGTCAGTGCTGTAACTCAAGTTTAGAGCACATGCGCTAATAAGTCAACAAAGTAATAAACAAAGAAGCATTATCCCTAAATCGAAACCAAGTCATTCAGCTATTGTAGATGATGCCTGCTTTGCCACCTCAAGGATAATTGTTCTTAATTTACAAGACTGTTGTAAAACACAAATTTGACCATCTGCTGTCATTCATGTCTGTAATAAAGAGAAACAACATACAGATGACTGACTAGTTGGACCTTGAAAATTCTTTTGACAACAACATGTCTGGTTGCTATAGACCACAGCTGTCATCAAAGATTATTTGGATTTTTTAAAAAGAAATAAAGATTTTTATTTTGAGGGCTTTTTGTGCCTTGATTGTAGAGAGAGGACAGTGGACAGGGCCAGAAATCAGAGAGTGAGAGAGAGTGGGGGATGACAAGGCCGTCCCCTTGGAGCACTAAAGCCTCCACACATGGGGCGCACCTACCAACCACTACGACACCAGCGCCCCATCATCAATGAAATTTCCTTCTCACTGCTGGATGTTTTATTTTAATAGTTTGTTGTCAATATGGTACCAGAAGCACAAATGTTGCATTGCTTCAACATTCAGCCATGTAACAAACAGACTCATCATCACTTTACTCAAAATGATGTAATGCAGCAAACGGGCTATCAAGAACTGAAATTCATAATTTCTACTTATTTCTGTTTACCTATCTGGCCATTCAGACAGAATCGGGACAAGTGTAAGTACACCGGGGTCCGTACAACACAGTGGAGTTGCTAGTGTTTGGGAGAACACTTCAGTCCCTGCTTCAAAAACATGAAGTTTTTAAGAAGCCAGAAATCTGAGCACCAGTCAGTGGCATTGATCAACAACCCTATCAACCCCCTGCAGATCTATTATGCTCACTGTGTGCTATGAAAGAGGAAAAGGCTTCTTACCGCCACAGTAAATTACACCTTTTTCAAATAGAACTAGAAACAAAACAGTGCTCACAGCTGGAGAGTGACCCCTGCATGCAGAATATAAAATACATCTTCAGAGTGGTTACAAAATCACACTTATGAGAAGTTCTGCTCTTAAAAGATCTCCAGTAATAACTACATCAAAAGCTTTTCTCCAAGATTCATCAGGACAGAACACAGAGCACAGACCAAAGGATGCTTTTAATGCTGGCATAAATGGGAATGTTTGGCAATTTACAGATCAGAAAGTGATGAACTAGCATTTGTTAGCTCATTTAAACATTTATGAGTTGAATAATACATTACACATTAGTGAAGTGCTAAAAAGATCAAATTGAAAAGGCCCGAGCATATAAGGGTCTTGATAAACACGAGCAGAGGTTCAGAGATGAAGGCTCGGCTCTCTAATCATAATTGGTCCCAGTAGATTGCTGAAATAAAAATGCACAACAAAGTGATGTTGTACGAGGTTCTGGCCCGCTTTGAAAATTCGTAATATTCACACGACATTAGATTCTGTGTTTGCCTCAGCAGCTGCTCACAAAAGGCAGCCATGAACAAAGACATTCCTTTTGCATTTCAAATAACAAAGCTCTACACCCCCCCCCCCCTATCCACGGCAATCTCCAACTTCCAATCATAATTCAAAAACGCTACACTTTTTAAAAACATGAGAAAATAGCTTCAGCAATATAAGTAGTAATGCAGAGTAATAAAAAAAAGAGGAAAGAGGAGGAAATAGAAATCCATTAATTTTCCATTTTCCATGGACTTGCTCTTTAAGGGTCCTCACAAACCAAGAAGCATTGAAAAACCAATTAATCAAACATGAATGGCCTATCATAGCTATGGCAGACGCGTTTCCATGGCAACAGCCTCCAGGCAAAATTGTCCCCCCCCTTTAATCTGAGCCACACCATGTTTAATATAAACAAGAGGGAGACATGCAGAGCAGAAGAGTTCAACATGGCATCCTGGGTACTTGGTGGAAAAACCTCCGGTCACTCGAGCTTTAAAAACAAACACACATCTACATTTCAGTTCCTATTTTTTAAAGATAGTTTTGACGTATTTTTTTGGTAACATGTTTCATATATATTCACTTAATTCTCGGAAAGTCCCAGATAGAAAATCATAGAGATGTTGGAGTGTTTGATAACAGTTATGAAATACATTACTTTATGAGAAAAACTGAAATAATTCACTGTTATCTTTATTGAATCAATCACTTATTTGATCTCCTTTTTCATATTCACTTCTGTCATGAAACAGATGGAAAAACAGAAATCGATGTCGGTAAAGTCACTCATAGTTAAAATTGTTGTTTTCAGCTGCCGTAAAAGCTATTTACAACCAGTTAAGGCATAAATAAGCTTATATATATAGCCTTAATGTATGCATAACCTTATTAAAGTAGCCAAAACAATCCAGATACAGGACAGTATAACACCAGAAAGTGCAGTTGCTAATTACGTTTAGCATTCCTGCTGTGATAATTCTCTTCTAACAGTCAGTCGTGTTTCATTTTAAAGGTCTCTGAGAGCACTTTAGTTCACCTGAGTGAGAAAGAAAGAGCAAGGAGTTATCACATAGAGCCATCAAGCCCGGGCTAAATAAAGCGAGCGGCAGACGGCTGTACAAACATTATGAAAGAATCTGACAAAGGTTGCCAGTTGCCATAGGTACTGTATGCTAATTCCTAATGGTGTCATCCCAGATAGCTGGTCAAAAGAGAGATTGAGAGTAGAGGGAGTAATGGGATTTAGTTTGACACTGTTCTAGCACATACTGACATTGCATGGACTCCTGACATAGTTTCAGAGCCTTAACTATGGACTTTATATCTGCTTTCTAACTCATAGGTTGATGTAGGTTGTGAAAGCTAGCATTGCAAATAGCATTAGCTTACTCATGAAATACTTAGCTTTACTCCATGACATTTTGTGAGTCAAGTTAACGTCAAGAATCTGGAAAATTATTATCATTTCCCGACGTCTTTATTCACAAGAAACTACAAAATCAGAAATGTTGCAGTAGGCTAGATCAAAAGCCAAAAAATAGGCTTGTAGACTATTATAATTTTTCATTCTTGGTTTCATCTTTATCTAGCTTACTGCAAAATTTCAGGTTTTGTGTTTGGATGATTATTAACTTTTTGGGACCTTAAGTGTCCCCAGAACTAAACATTTTGTATTGATAAGTTATTTAGAATAGCCTCTTTCACTTTTGGTAGTTGTTATGATGTATGAGCTCTCATTTGTTGATTCAGAGCTGATGTCATAATGATGATTGGTTGCAATGCTTGAAGCCACTTCCTATGTAAGATGTCATGCCCATTTTAACAAACTGTTTGCCTGATGAAGGTCTAGTACCGAAATGTTGCCAATAAATGTTTGATTGTTAGACAGTGTGCAGGAGTTTAAGTTCAAGTTTTGGATGGGCACATTGCTCTCCTATGCACCTGTCTTCTAAAATTGATGTGCAATGTTTTTTTCTATTTCCCACTATAAGCTTAAAACTTCCAACTTGTGCAAAGCAGTGGAATTTTTAGATAATTTATAAAGTTGTATTTTGAGTTCTCTTGGGAATTGTCATAACTGTGTTTAACCTCCAACAATGTAGTTGTTTGTTGTAAAGCCCCAGGAGATCAGAGTCCTTCATAAACAGGAAAGACCAAAAGCAAAAGAGGGAGAGGAGTCTGGAACTGAGAGAGAGAGTTGAAGAAAGACATAAAAGGAGAAGAGAAAGCTACAAAAACCACATGACCTAAGTAACAATACCCATTTCAAAAGTTAGCAAGGGGACAGCTGGATATTGCTTTTTCAGTGATGAGCACCCAGGCGGACCTAAACTGTGATGTAAAGCCAGGAAACTCGGTGTGAATGTGTTCCTCTGCCATCGCTATACGCCTGTCGTGTTTGTATTCACATCTTGTACATCATAGTCAAATGGGAGTCAAATAACAAAGGCTTTCCAATTATGTGTAGCACATTGTGTGCGAGATGGAATATCACAAAGCCATTGTTCCCCCTGCTCCTGCTGACCTTACCTTTGAAATGGTTTCACGGCCGCTCCAATTGCCTGCACCATTTGATTTAGCTAAGGGGATTTGACCACCAGCACCGAGATGAGAGGAAGGAAGAGGAGAAGAAGAGAGCCCCGCATGCTACACAGAGAAAGAAGAGAGACTCACACCAGCGCTGAGAAAAACAGCTGACCTTGCTCCATAATGACAATGATGATACCAGAGTGGCATCTGTTTCATTAGGCAAATAAGAAGGGTGATTGAAATGCCAGGTTTCACTGCCCTCGATTAATAATAAAGCAGATTCAAAATGCTTAAGAATGAATAAATGTTGTGTTCACATTTCAATATATTAAAAACAAACAACAAATGTGTGTCCAGTGGCGTGTCCAGACTTTTGGTGGAATGGAGTGGCCAAGGTTGGCGTAAGCATAGTGACTTAAACTAGGGGGGCTTAAAAATGTCTGCACAAACATGTCCAAATATTGTATATTTACCATTTATGTCTCCACTTCTAATATCTTCTTTAAATAAGATCATCATACATTTTCTATTTTCCTGTTTGTATGGTTTTTAATTTATGAATGGCATTTGAGAGTAGACTCTTAAGAAAAAACACCCATGCTTGGTTCTTTAAGGACTCAACAACTGGATACAACTCCAAAAGTCAAATAATGAAATACCAACA